ATGAGATAGACTCATTACATGCAAAGCAAGATAGTTCAAGCCGAGATTTGTCATAATTGTGATGATTATAGCTTACAGCTCATGAAAACACCAAATCCACAATCTCAGAAAATGAGAATATCGTGAAAAGGTGCAATATTCTAGGATCAAAGTGTCCCACTCTAATCAGCTAATTAAGCCATAACACCTGCAAAGGGTTCCTGAGCCTTTAAATGGTCTCTCGGTCTGGTTCAGTAGGAATCACAATCATGGGAAAGACTGCTGACCTGACAGTTGTGCAGAAAACCATCATTGACACCCTCCATAAGAGGGAAAGCCTCAAAAGGTAATTGCATAAGAAGTTGGATGTTCCCAAAGTGCTGTATCAAAGCACAATAGAAAGTTATGTGGAAGGGAAAAGTGTGGAAGAAGTCTGGAGAGGATCGTCAGGAAAAGGCCATTCAAAAGTGTTGGGGACTTTCACAAGGAGTGGACTGAGGCTGGAATCAGTGCATCATGAGCCACCACACACAGACGGATCCTGGACATGGGCTTCAAATGTCGTATTCCTCTTGTCAAGCCGCTCCTGAACAACAACCAACATCAGAAGCGTCTTACCTACCTGGGCTAAAGAAAAACAGACCTGGTCTGTTGCTCAGTGGTCCAAAAGTCCTCTTTTCTGATGAGAGCAACTTTTGAAGTTTCCACAGTCTGTGTTGATTTGGGGAGCCATGTCATCTGCTTGTGTTGGTCCACTGTGCTTCATTAAGTCCAGGGTCAACGCAGCTGTCTACCAGGAGATTTTGGAGCACTTCATGCTTCCTTCTGCAGACGAGCTTTATGGGGATGCTGACTTCATTTTCCAGCAGGACTTGGCATCTGCCCACCTAGTTCAATGACATAACTTTCTATTGTGCTTTGATACAGCACTTTGGGAACATCCAACTTCTTTTGCAATTACCTTTTGAGGCTTTCCCTCTTTGTGGTTTTCTGCACAACTGTCAGGTCAGCAGTCTTTCCCATGATTGTGATTCCTACTGAACCAGACTGAGAGACCATTTAAAGGCTCAGGAACCCTTTGCAGGTGTTATGGCTTAATTAGCTGATTAGAGTGGGACACTTTGAGCCTAGAATATTGCACCTTTTCACAATATTCTCATTTTCTGAGATTGTGGATTTGGGGTTTTCATGAGCTGTAAGCCATAATCATCACAATTATGACAAATCACGGCTTGAACTATCTTGCTTTGCATGTAATGAGTCTATCTCATATATTCGTTTCACCTTTTAAGTTGCATTACTGAAATAAATGAACTTTTGCACGATATTCAAATTTTTCGAGTTTCACCTGTACTTGTGCCGCTACCTTTGACTAATTAATAGAGAAAATGAGAAAAGAGCAGGATGGATATCTAAACATGCATTAAAAAAAACATTTCACAAAAATAAAAGCAGCTGAACCCTGGGGATATTCTATTTACCCTTGTAGTGCTGCTTTCCTCTCATTTTTGTCTAGGGGGAACATAAACAGCAGTTTTACATACCCTATCCCCGTTCTTGCAGGCTTCCTGCTCTTCCTGACATCAAGCCTCGAAGCTGCTTCTCCTCACTACTCTGTCAGTTGTAGAAAGAGAGCTTTTTTTTCTCAGAAAATAGGTGCAGGAGCTCAACCTCGCCTCCCCCCCCCCCCCCCCACACACACACACACACACAAACACACACCCCCCCCCCCCAAAACCCTTAAAAAAAAATAGTGGGTGTTGTGTAATTTTACTAACAATGAGAGAGTCTTAAAAGGGCTTTAAATACCAGGAGTGCATTACACACAGAGTTCAGGGGTGCGCTATGTGCAGAATTCGGGGCTAGGCCATACACATTGTGCAGAGTTCAAGGGTGCGCTGCATACAGGGTGCAGAGTTCAGGGGTGCGCTGCATACAGAGTGCAGAGTTCAGGGGTGCGCTGCATACAAGGTGCAGAATTCAGGGGTGCATGGCATACAGGGTGCAGAGCTCAGGGGTGTGCTGCATACAAGGTGCAGAGTTCAGGGGTGCATGGCATACAGGGTGCAGAGCTCAGGTGTGCGCAGCATACAGAGTGCAGAGTTCAGGGGTACACTGCATACAGGGTGCAGAGCTCAATGGTGTGCTGCATACAGAGTGTAGAGTTCAGGGGTGTGCTGCATACAGGGTGCAGAGTTCAGGGGTGTAGTGCATACAGGGTGCAGAGTTCAGGGGTGCGCTACACACAGAGTTCAGATTTCAGCTCTCTTCCACAATTGCTTACCTCTGCATCCCCCATCCACATCTCACTTTCACCCCTTTTCAGCTCTGACCTCTGATTGAAACCCCCCCTTCACTGCTTCATCTCCCCCCCTCCTTAAAAGCGCTACTATCTTCCACATGTCTTACTTTTGTTGCTGCATTGAACCAAAGCACCCAGCAGGCTCTAGTACCTCCCCACACACTGTAGGTGGCACAGCCTCTCTCACTTGCAGGGAGATCATCCAGTGGGGGTGTTGGAATCTGCACTGCATCCCGGGCACCTGAATATCCCTTGTCCCCATCCTGCACTCCATGGGAGTCGCTCATGAGACCAGACCTGTGGGAGCTGTTGAGAGACAAGCTGTCACTTGTAAACTTGTTTACAAGTGATAGTGGTGAGCAAGGAGTAAAGGGCCTGAGTCAGAGGTGGCAGAACTGAGTTCCACTAGTTCCAGCTAAACAAAGCCCTTGTTGTAGGCACTCTGACATCATAACATACAGTGCAGGTCCTGCATTGTAAGTGAGGATGTTAAGAGCCAGCCCACAACAAGAAGAGAGCATGGGCTGCTCGGGTAGTGAAGGCTAAGTATAAACCGTTTTAAATTGGTACCCTGGGCAAAAACAAACGTTTAACCTTCGCAGTGTGAGGGAAGCCCCCACTGCAAGGGTAACATTATTTTGTGCCCGGGGTTCTGCTTTAACTAAACGTGTTACCTTATTTTGGCAACACAGTGGCTAAATGGTTAGCATTTCCCCCTGGCAGTGCTAGGGTTGTTGGTTCGAATCCCAACCACAGCACCACCTGCCTGGAGTTTGCATGTTCTCCCTGTGCCTGTGTGGGTTTCCTCTAGGTAGGTTAATTGGATCCTGTCTAAATTGGCCCTAGTATGTGTATGTATGAATGTAAGTTAGGGAACTTAGATTGTACGATCCTTTGAGGGTTAGGGACTGATGTGAATGTGCAATGTATATGTAAAGCGCTGCATAAATTGATGGCACTATATAAGTACCTTTATTAATAATAATAATAATAATAATAAAATAAATAAATATTTTAGTGTCTAAAGCTAATAGTAGTTAGTCACATTCAACTGGATATGTTTTGTAAAGTTGAAATTGTTTTGCCACTCATCCAGTCAGTATTGTCTTCTTCACGTATTGTCAAAGCTGTTGTCTAATCTGCCACTGCTACTTTTTACCATCCTGCTACTACAAATGTTCATGTCAATATGGTAAAAAATAACCATTGATTAGACCCCATTGACCATTAGGAAATTGAACAACTGTTCTCGAAATTAAAATTTTAAGCCAAATTCTACTGGTGCATAGCCAGCTTTATCCTAACTTCCTGTCTGTTAAAATGTTGCCACTAGGACAGGAAGTGGGGGTAAATCTCTCTTTCAGAGTCTTGGATAACAGTAAAAACCTGCCAGGGGGTCTAACCCTTCCCACTCTATCCAAAATGAAGAGAAAATGTTTTGGCTGGACATACACTTGAAGAGCCTTAAATATGTATTAGCTATGTCTAATATCTATTCTTCCTAGCTGTGGGAACTGTTTTGCACCCTTTGAAGTAGTGGAAGAATCTCACTACTGGTATAGCATCGTCTTTATGAAATAGAAGGTCTGCTTTGTTTGAAGTAAAAGAAAATGCTTTTACTGTATCTACATTTTTTCTGTAGTGTTTATAGCTTAGATTTCTCTTTTATTTGAAGTCAAGTACTTAACATCCATATAGTTTGATTGTGTGAGAAGGAACCATTAGTGGATTCTCAGGATATCTTGACTTGCTTGGCATTGCGCTGTAAATGGGATTTGATAGAAGCAGGACTTGGTATTCCACTGCTTATGGCTCCCTGCTCGGTTTCAAAGGAAATTGCCTTAGAGGAATTACTGCTTTTAAACCACACTTATAACTGCTGGTTAGAGGTTTGGCAACATTTGGGTGATACCACTAATGGTAAAACAGTGTAACCAGCTCAGACAATGAGTCATCTACTAGCTGTTCTCAGTGAGCCATTGTAAAGGCACGCTGAGACTTGGGCTTTGCATTTGAGTGTTTGTCCTTTGTACTCTCAGCATTCCAATGACTTTTTAGCCTGTTAGTACACTTTACACTAACAGCATTTGCTTGTGATGAGTTCCACATGTGAGAGGTTTTAGGTGTTCTCTTACCCAGCAGCATGGTGGGTGTCCTGGGACACTGAAGGAACACATACTCATGTGTTTTTTACACTGGCATCCTGACCACATTCAACATCTGCATCACTTACTGGTTCCATTAGTATTAATGATTTATTTATGGACAATACGATTAGAGTAGTAAAACAATTAAGACTCAATCGCTATATATATATATTATTATTATACAGTATTTATATAGCGCCAAAGGGTATGCTCAGCGCTGTACAATAGCAAGGGGGACAGAACATGAGACAAGACAGTAACAATACACTACACGAGGGGTTCAAGGGCCCTGCTCTTTCGAGCTTACATATATATATATATATATATATATACATACTTTTAATTGTATCTAATTCTCGGTGATTCTGTGGGCCAGCTCTTTGGGTTCCATGTTTTATATGCCTGAAAGCCTTTTCCTTAGAATTTTCTTCACCAGTTTGTTAATCTTTTGTCTATCCTCAAAGTGTTACTAAACCCACAACAGTAGAATGAGTCTGTATATGCAGTAAAGCATGCTTGTTATACTCACTGTGGAACCTAAGGGGTTAATCCTCTGCATTGTGTAAAAAGGCTGTTTGGTCCTTATTTCTCTAATCCCCCTTCTTCCAGTGTCTCCCTCTTATCACCTGATAAGACATATATGGAGACAGTCTGCGCACTATCAGTTTGGTGTGTGTGTTGCTAGAGAGGTTTTTTTTTCTTGGGAGAGTGCATATGATCAGCACAGGGCCAATCAGCACTGTCCAGACAGAGGTCAGGGGTCCTGCAATCCTCCTAGACCAGAAAGAAAATTCCTCATACAAGCTTTAACCAGTGGTCTGCTAAACACTGATAGAAGTCGCAAGGCCGCTCTAACTGCTGATGAGAAAAAAGTATTTAGCAGTTTGTGTTTACTAAAATAATTGCATTTTCATGTTCTGTGTACTGTGGGAGACCAGATATAGTGAATGCATGATCCTGGGTTTAGTAACACTTTAAATATCATCATCAATAGCTTGGGCTTGGGACTGGTATGCAGAATGTGTTAACGCATTATGTGTAGCCATTGTGGGACATATTTGCTTCTATATAATGGTTATTGATACAGTATCTGGATCTTGTAGAAAAAAAGCTGTTGATTGAGACTTCATTATTTTCTACAAACTCAGAATGTTATGAAATTTTGAAGGTTATTTAGTAAAACTGGCTAATGCAAAATGTGGTGCAAATCTGCATAGAAACCAATCGGCTTCCAGGTTTTATTGCCAAAGCTTAATAATTGAACAAGCTGAAGTTAGAAGCTGATTGGCTACCGTGCACAACTGCACCAGATTCTGCGTACACCAGCTTTAGTAAATCTACTCCATTGTTTTTTCTTCAAATAATGTATCCTGAAATTCAAATGCTGTGAAAACTAGCAGTTTACTGTACATATATCTTATTGAATGTTGTATTTTGCCTGGAATTCTCATTTTTATGCCACTGGTATCCCACACCACGAAATACCCAGTGGTTTCACTCATGACCAATTTGTTGTGTGGTACTGCTTCTCACACTGGTTGTGGTAATAAGTAGACATGTAATATATATAGGTCTTGACATAGAAAGTATAGCAGATGAAAGGTTATGTTTCAACACAGTTGTTAAAGAGGAACTTAAGTTTGGGAAAATAAAAACGTTTAATAAAAAGACACTTACCTGTCCAGGGATCCAGCTCTGTCTTCACGTGGGCCAGTTCTTCACTGGTCTTCAGGTCCCGAGCGCTGTCATGTTGACTGTCAAAAGCCAGCTTTGACTCCCTACAGCTTCACAATTGGTTGACAGCTGGTTCCCCACTGTGTATTTGCAAGCCGTGCTGTGGCCTGTGAATGGTCCCTCCTTGGACCTGTGACATGTCCCAGGGAGTTGCGGGCAGTGAGGGAAGATGAACTTCCATTCAGATCAGTTCTTCTGGCAGTTGTGGCTGCAATCTTTCTGGTCTACCCAACCTATCAAGAGATCCCCAAATTTTCCACTTCTTAATAAGTTAATGACAGGCATATTCAAGGCTTTGGATATCTTTTTCCATCCTTTTCCATTTTTATAAAGTTCCATTACCTTGTTTTGAAGGTTATTTGACAGTTCTTTTCTGATCCCCCTGGATCAGTATCTAGCCTGCTCAGTGCATCCACATGAGAGCTAACAAATGATTCGACTATTTTTACACAGATACTAGTTGGAATTTAAAAAGCCACAGATGTGGGAAATTAACCTTATTTTGCCATTTTAATCTGTTTGTGTGACTTCGTGTTTCTGTAGCAGGGCAAAACATTCCAGGGTATGGAAACTTTTTATTAGGTCCATTTGGGTAATTTCTGTTATCGGTATGATTTATAAAGGAGCCAAACAACTATGTGATAATGAATGGCTTCATATGATCACTATCCTTTAATGAAAGACAGTTTTTTCGCATGATCAGTCATATTTTCAATTTCGATTTCTGCTAGGGTGTGCAAAATGTTGAGCTCAACTGGTACAGTATATCTTTAAGATGCTGGGTAGCACTATATATTATATTGCCAAAAGTATTGGGGGACACCTGCCTTTACATACACATGAACTTTAATGGCATCCCGGTCTTAGTCTGTAGGGTCCAATATTGAGTTGGCCCACCCTTTGCAGCTATAACAGCTTCAACTCTTCTGGGAAGGCCGTCCACAAGGTTTAGGAGTGTGTCTATGGGAATGTTTGACCATTCTTCCGGAAGAACATTTGTGAGTTCAGGCACTGATGTCGGACGAGAAGGCCTGGCTCACAGTCTCCACTCTAATTCATCCCAAAGGTGTTCTATCGGATTGAGGTCAGGACTCTGTACAGGCCAAACACGTTCCTGAACCCCAAACTCGCTCATCCATGTCTTTATGGACCTTGCTTTGTGCACTGGTGCGCAGTCATGTTGAATCAGGAAAGGGCCATCCCCAAACTGTTCCCACAATGTTGGGAGCATGAAATTGTCCAAAATGTCTTGGTATGCTGACGTCTTAAGAGTTCCCTTCACTGGAACTAAGGGGCCAAGCCCAACCCCTGAAAAAACAACCCCACACCATAATCCCCCCTCCACCAAACTTTACACTTGGCACAATGCAGTCAGGTAAGTACCGTTCCCCTGGCAACCGCCAAACCCAGACATGTCCATCGAATTGCCAGACAGAGAAAAATGATTGGTCACTCCAGAGAACACGTTTCCACTGCTCTAGAGTCCAGTGGCAGCATGCCTTACATCACTGCATCCGATGCTTTGCATTGCACTTGGTGATGTAAGGCTTGTATGCAGCTGCTCGGCCATGGAAACCCATTCCATGAAGCTCGCACTGTTGTTGTGCTAATCTGAAGGCCACACGAAGTTTGGAGGTCTTTAGCTATTGACTCTGCAGACAGTTGGCGACTTCTGCTCACTGTGCACTTCAGTATGCGCTGACCCCACTCTGTCATTTTACATGGCCTACCACTTTGTGGCTGAGTTACTGTTGTTCCCAGCTGCTTCCACTTTGTTATAATACCACTAACAGTTGACTGTGGAATATTTAGTAGCAAGGAAAAGTCACGGATGGACTTATTGCACAGGTGGCAACCTATCATGGTACCACGCTTGAATTCACTGAGCTCCTGAGAGCGACCCATTCTTTCACAAATGTTTGTAGAAGCAGTCTGCATGCCTAGGTGCTTGATTTTATACACCTGTGGCCATGGAGGTGATTACAACACCTGAATCCAATGATTTGGAGGGGTGTCCCAATAATTTTGGCAATATAGTGTGTATATATATATATATATATATATATATATATATATATATATAATTTTTTAAAATATATCGAATGGTCAGTAACACTGTAATAAAAGTTGAGGATTTTTTTTTTAAATAAATTAATATCTAGATTGTGAAATGTATGAAAAAAAAACCCAGTTCAATATGTCACAGTGTATAAACTCGGTTAGTCGTAATAATATGGCAATTTCTGTAGTAATCCAACACATTCTTATTTTAGATGGAGAGAATAAAAAAAGGCAGCAAATCCTCCTTGCACGCTATAGTTGGTGTTGAGCACCCCCTACTGTGCAAATCAGAAAATGAACACAGAATGTAATGCCTTATGTAAGATAATTTTACAGGAAGGTAAGAAGGCAGCCCCTCATATCCATTTTTACAGAAGTTTACATAGTCACTGTGGAGCACTTCTACATGCAGGGAAATTACATTACTATACGCAGATATACATGTATTGATATGAACTTTAAAAATCACACCCTCCTGAGTCAGCTTGTGTGTGTCTCAATTGTTAGATAGGCAATACAAGCAATTTCTATTTATGGAAAATATTTAAGGTCACACAAAATTCATCAAAATCCTATTTGGTAGACTGTCTGCTGGGTTTCTATGTCTGTCTGTATCCCCATTGTGGAGATTTCCTCTCAACTACTAGATTGTAAGCTCTAACGAGCAGGACCCTCTGTTTCCTCTTGTACCAAATTGTATTGTAACTGTAATGTCCACCTTCATTTTGTAAAGCGCTGCGCAAACTGTTGGCACTATATAAATCCTGTATAATAATAATAATAATTCCCGTCCCAATGACACACACAATAAGTATATTCAATGTGGGCAGCAACAAAAATGTAACAGAGGATTTTACCCTTCCAAAGTTACTAAAAAAATAAACACTAGTATTGCTTTCTCTGTCCCTGTTGGAGCAAATCTCCTTACTTCCTGTCTAGGTGACACAATAAGAAGTGACGGGCAATCTTACAGAAATTAGCACCTGGTGTTGAGGTTCTAAACATTTCCTTCTTTGTCCAGATGAAACATTTTTCACAGTATTTATGCTTGAAACCATTACTTCTATATGTGAATTTCAAATTAAATATGACTGCATTTTGGCCATAAAATGAGCAAAATTCATGGGAAACCTTACCTGCAATGATCCCCAGATCTGTTATTAAAAGTGTAAATGCAAATCTTTTTTAAGCTTTGGATAGAATAGAAAGAATTAGAACCCTTGTCAGTTTTTATTGCTGTCTGTGTCCCCATTAGGGAGATTCACTCTATTTGTCCTGCTTATTGTTATATCAAAAATGAAAGTGAATGAATATCCCACAATTTGAATTGACATAAGAACACTAATAGAGGGGAAATCTTCCAAAGGGCACACTAGTTCTGGTGACCCTGGTGATACACCAGTTCCCTCACTTTGGAGGGATTCCTTTTCACTTCCTGTTTTAGCCATGGGACAGGAAGTGAAGGGAAATCTTACCAATGGGACACAGATCGCAACAAAAAAAAGGGTTTACCCCCCTCACTCTATCCAAATGGGAAAAAAAAAGTTTGATTCAATGGTCACAAGATTTGTTCAGATAAGTTAGTGTCAACATTTTTTGATAGATCTGAAGGACTTTTTTTTTTTAATTGGAAGGAACCTGGGATGGGAGTTGATGTCCAATATTATAAAATTATATCAAGGGTATATAGCCTGGGCAGATCACTGATCTGCTGACCAGTGACCAGAACAAGCTAAGCGAGTGTAACAATCATGCTTTACTGCATATACAGGCTGATTTTACTGCTGTGGGTTTAGTAACACTTTAAATATGTTTTCTGGACTAAAAGGAGTCAGGGGAAATAATTGATCTCCAATATTTGAAATTTTATCCAGAACGTATAGCTTGTTCTGGTTACTGGTCAGATCAGTGATCTGAACAGGCTATAATATATACCCTTGATATAATATATAATATTGGACATCAATTTCCTTCCCAGGTTCCTTCCAATTCAGAAAAAAAAGTCCTTCACAACTATCAAAAAATTTTGACTCTGCGTTATCTGAACAAATCGTGTGACCAATAAATCATTTCTGCACTGTTAAAATAGTGACATTTTAATA